TGGGGACGGGTCTGTCGCCGTACAACACTGGGGTGCGGTGCTGGTGGTTGTTTCTAAATCTAACCCTTGACTGCGTTGCAACAGGAATGCCAGTGTTTGTAAGTCTACAAATTCTGCCTTCAGTATAACCTCCTGAATCGTCTGTAGGGATTGATTGTAATTAAAGCTTTGATTTTTAAGAACATTTTTGGGTTTGCATGGTTTGAATTTTGTTTCTTCTTGCTGCCCAGATCCTCCTCTGTTTGAGTCATGGCACCATTTCTTCGCCTCTCGTTTAATTCCTACGAGGTGGGATCCTTGGTGAATTCAGCTGACCCTCTACCACCATTCGTTGCTGTAAAGGTGAAGGAAGCCTTGACAACAGGTATGAAAAGTGCAGCTCTGAGCTTCAAGGGAAGGGATCCCTCTATCTGTACAATCCGGGGAGTTTGGCAGGGAGTCCCTGCCCCTTCTGGAAGTGCCAGGGTAATGCCCACCCATTCTTGCCCATTCACTGCAGTATCGGGTGGGGGGCCTGTGAGAACTAGATGTGGGTATTCTGACCTGATGATAGTATGGGTCAAGATGCTTCCTGGAAAGGAGCAAGTTCGCGTGGATTATTAATGATTTAGATGAGGAATCTAAATGTAATATCTCCACATTCGCAGATGACACAAGACTGGGTGATCTGTGAGCAGGAAGCAGAGATGCTTCAGTGTGATTTGGACAGGTCTAGTGAGGGCGGAAAGCAGATTATTATCTGAATGGCAATAGATTAGGAAAGGGAGATTGCATGAGATCTGGGTGTTCTTGTACATCATTCAGCGAAACAAGCGGGTGCAGCAGGTGGTGAAGAAGTTAAAATATACTTTGGCCTTCATAGTGAGAGGATTTGAGTACAGGAGCAGGGATGTCTTGCTGCAATTATACAGGGCCTTGGTGAGACCACACCTGGAGTATTGTGTACAGATTTTGCTTCCTCCCCTGAAGAAGGATGTTCTGGTTGTGGAGGGAGGTGCAGTGCAGATTCATTAAATTGATTCCTGGGATGGCAGAACTGGTATATGAAGAGATACTGCAGTAGTTTGGATTATAAAGTTTTTAGAAGAATGAGGGATTCTCATAACCTATAAAATTTTACCAGAGTATAGACAAGGTAAACACAGAAATGATGTTACTGATGACCGGGGAATCTAACCCTAAGGTTCGATCATAATGAATGGTGGAGCAGGCTTAAAGGGGCTGGATGGCCTACTACCCCTGTTTTCTCTGATTTAAGTTGTATCATTGGAAGTGAACTGAGAAGTAGCTATGGTCCTGAGCTCCTCAAATTGTTTGTGGGTTTGAAGGGAAGTCACTGACCTCAAACTCAAGTCACTCGGTCAAGTGAGATTAGTAATTACAGTGTGAAGACAGGAAGTAGGCAGGGGAGGCCAGTTACTGTCAGAAATATCACAAGATCACGGTGGCTGAATAAACACAATAGATTAAAAAAAAATAAATTGGAAAAAACTATTTTTGGGCAGAAAAAAAATGACCGGGCACTATTTAAAAATTAAGCGATCCCCTTTCAAGACAGATGCAAGTGTATTTTCTTGTAGAGTTGTGTTGCTTTGAAACTGTCTTTGGAAGTGGGCACGTTGAATATTTTTTTAAGGTGTGAGTAAATCCTTTTTGGCAAAGAAATCAGAGGGCAATGGGGTTAAATAGGAAGGTGGATGTTTAAATACAAACTGATCTTATGACTGATAGAAAAGGCTCAAGGAGATGAATGGCCTACTTCTGCATTTAACGAGTTTGTTTGTAATGATATGACTGTGCCCGGAGAAATGTGCTGATGAAGAATTCCCACTGCTCCACCAGCTGCCCATTTAGTAAATGTGTTGATTCAATCGCTAATGCGGCCAGTTGCTTTTCTCTTGTTCTGGACTGAAGTACAAAAGAGATGTCCCTCAGGCTTCTTCTAATGAACCCAAAATAATCTGATTATTGTAAATGAAGCTTATTCTTAAAGCAAGTAGCAAATATTGGTTAACATTTAAAACATAATCTGGAATTAAAACTGTAACCCCTTAATCCCACAACTAGACATAAACTTAAAATGCAAAAACTCAAATTTCTGCATAAGTGATTTTTTTTGCTCTTTAATAAAAGGGAAAACATGACTCCTTTTAGGCCAAGGATAGGATGTGATGACTTCTCACACTGTCTTTTCCTGTTGATGAAGCTGAAGATTTAATGGTATATATTGAGATGAGTGTCTAGTTCTGACTGCGTTTGTTTCTTCAGAACATGGTCACAGCCCAACTTCTCAGCCTCTACTAGGTAGACAGGAAGTATTGGTATTAGAAAAATCTCAGGTTCCCAAGGGCTTCTTCTGAGATCAAGATTTCAGGAGAGTCTTGCAGTCTCTGGGTATTCTGCTTTACTCTCTGACTCTTGGTCTGTAGAACAGAACTCTAATATTGTAAAGGGTTGGTATGCAAGCATTAACAGAAGGACCCCTAATCCCCTCAATACCTGGTTTTTCCAGTAATTAAGGCAATAAACCCTATTTCTTGTTGGAGAAGCAGCGAAGCAAAGCTTTCAAAGTCACTTGATTTTCAATGAAAATAGCATAGAGCTTACAGCATCATAAAGCTGTTGACTTCATTTATAAGAAGTCAAATAGCAAAACCACTTTTCAGTTGAGATTGTCCTGAAATATAACTTTATGGATTCAGTATGATAAGATGTGGCCAGATACTGACTGACCGTGCAAACAAAATCACACAAGTCTAATGAGACCATTTGGCTCATCAAATAAGCATTATGACCTAGTGTCAAAGTCTTCCTTTATTCCCCAAACCCTTGTACATTATTTTTATCCAAATAATCATCCAATACTCTCCTGAACACCTCAATTCAATCTGCTTCCACCATACTTCCAGGCAGCTCATTCCATGCTCTAACTTTTCGCTGTGTGAAGTGTTTCCTCACATCACTTTCGATTTAATGTCCTCTCATCGTTGTTCCTTTCTTGTGCAGAAACGGTTTCTCCTTATCTACTCTGTCCAGCCTACTCATGATTTTGAAAACTTCTATCAGATCTCCTCTCAGTCACCTTCTCTCCAAGGCAAACAATGCCAACTTCTTCAATCTATCCTCATCGTTGAAGTTCCTCATCCCATGAACCATTCTTGTAAATCGCTTTCGCATCCTGACCAATGTGTTCACACTTAAGTATTCCAGCTGAGGTCTAATAAGGGTCGTGTACAAGTTCAGCATCTCCTCCTTGCTTTTATACTCTGTTTTATTAACTGCCCTCTCTACCTGTCCTGCCACCTTCAATGATCTGTGCACAAAAATACACCCAGATCCCTCTCCTTCTGAACCCCCTTTAGAATGGTATCCCCAATTTTATATTGTCTTCTAATGTTCTTCTGGCTAAAGCGCATCACCTCACACTTCTCTGTATTAAACCTCACCTGTCCCTTATCCCCTCATTCCACCAACTTGTCAATGTCCTTCTGGAGTTCCATATTGTCCTCCTCACAATTTACAATTCTTCCAAGCTTTGTGTCATCTGCAAACTTTGAAATTGCCCCCTGCACATCAAAATCTGAATCACTAATGTATATCAGGAAAAGGAAGGGTCCCAAATTCTGACTCCAATAAAAGCAAAGTACTGCAGAGGCTGGAAATCTGAAACACCGAAAGTGTAAAAGCAGGGGTGGTGTTGCATTATTAGTCAGGGAGTCAGTTACTGCAGTTAGGAGGAATGATACCTTGGAGCGGTCATCAAAGGGAAGCTTTGTGGGTAGAATTTAGGAATAAAAATTGGCAGTCACACTGGGAGTATAATACAAGCCCCAAACAACCAGGCAATTGAGCAGATATGCAGTCAATTCAATAAGGCATGTAAAAGTAGTAATAAGGTAATTACATAAGAGGATTTCAACCACCCTAATGTTAATTGGGATAATGGAGACAGAAAGGACTGCAGATGCTGGAAGCTAGAGTCCAATAATGTGGAACTGGAAAAGCACAGCAGGACAGACAGCATCCGAGGAGCAATAAAACCAGCATTTCGGGTTGGAACTTTCTTCCGCTCTGAAGAAGGGCTTCAATCTGAAACATTGACTTTCCTGCTCCTCTAATGCTGTCCGATCTGCTGTGCTTTAATTGGGATAATATTATGTAATAGATTTAGTGTAGGGGAGGGGGAGGAAATTGCATTAAAAAGCCCCTCTGACAAAAAATATACATAATGTGTAGATTTGTCTGTCTGACAAGGAACAGTGCAGTGCTGGACCTAATTCTGGGGAATGAAGCCAGACAGGTGTGCGAACTGACAGTGGGACAGCATTTTAGGGATGGCATCCACAACATTTTCCATAACAAATTTGAAATGTACAAGGAAAAGGAGGGTCTGCCAAAAAAGGCTTTGAATTGGGGTAAAACAGATTGTATTAAAATTAGTAAACTGGGAATTAGACTGGGAGCATCTACTTGATGGTAAATCTGCAGCAGAACGATGGGAGGTGTTCAAAACGGAATGTCACTGCGGAAGAGTATGGGCCCAATGTGTTCCCTTTAGGGTGAAACATTGGAGCAGCAGGCCCAGGGTACCACAGGGATCAGTGCTGCGTCCGTCAATGTTTGTAATATTCGTAAACAATGGAGCTGAGAATGTGTCCGGGGGTGTCGGAGTGTTAGACAGCATGGAAATAGACCCTTCGGTCCAACCGGTCCATGCTGACCAGATATCCTAAATTAATCTAGTCCCGTTTGCAATCATTTAGCTCATATCCCTCTAAACCCATCCTATTCATATACCCATCCAGATGCCTTTTAAATGTTGTAATTGTACCAGCCTCCATCACTTCCTCTGGCAGCTCGTTCCATACACACACCACCCTCTACGTGAAAAAGCTGCCCCTTAGATCCCTTCTATATCTTTCCCCTCTCACCTTAAACCTATGCCCTCTAGTTTTGGAGTCTCCTACCGTGGGGAAAAGACCTCTGCTATTCACCCTATCCTTTGCCTTCATGATTTTCATAAATCTCTAAGATCACCCCTCTGCTCCACGGCAAATAACCCCAGCCTATTCAGCCTCTCCCTATAGCTGAAGCCCTTGTTGTGATGGTAGGAGATGATAAGTAAGATTGGCCAGATGGTTCTTGGTGAAGAAGAAGGTGTTAGGTTACAGGAGGAGATAATGTATTGGGCAGGTCAGTGTTTGATGGAATTTAACCCTGATAAGTATGAGACAAGGGGGTACTTAAATGGCTGGACACAAGGAAGCTCAGAGGAACAGAGGGATCTTGGGGAGCCTGTCGACAGATCCCTGAAGATGGCAGGGCAGGTTAATAGGATGGTTCAGAAGGCTTATGGGATACTTGCTTTTATCAGTTATTACACAGATTATAGGAGCAGTGAGGTGATGTTGGAGCTGTACAGGACTTTGGTGTGGCCACAGCTGGAGCACAGTGTACAGTTCTCTTCTCCGGATGTGATTGCACTGGAACAGATGCAGAGTATATTCACCAGGATGTTGCCTGGTACATAGCATTTCAGCAATGAAGAGAGGCTGGGTACGCTTGGGTTGTCCTTTATGGAGGAGAGAAAGTGGAGGAGGGACTTGATAGAGGCATTTAAAATTGAGGGATATGGGTATAAAACCGTTGTTCCCTCATTTGAAGGGGCAGAAACAAGGGGGTATTATTTTAAAGTGAAGGGCAGGAGGTTTAGAGGGGATTTGAGGAAAAACACTTTCACCCAGAGGGTGGTGGGGGTCTGCAATGCACTGCTTGGGAGGGGAGTTGAGGTGGGAATCTTCAAACATTTTAGAAAGTACTTGGATGAGCACTTGAAATGTCAAACATTCAAGCCTTATAGGCTAAGGGCTGGAAAGTGGGACTAGTGTAATTGCTGGCATATTTTTGGCAGTTCAGACCTGATGGGCCGAAGAGAACTTCCTCAGTTCTGAGGAAGGGTCACCGGACTCGAAACGTTAACTCTGTTTTTTCCCTTCATAGATGCTGCCAGACCTGCTGAGCTTTTCCAGCAACTTTGTTTTTGTTGTTGTTGTCATTGATATCAACATTGACCCCACCCTCTGGTTGCTCACCATTCCCAGAGGAATGTCCTGGAGCCGCTCTGTAACATTGCATCCCTGGTGCCAGGGTCAACAACACATCATCCTGGAGTTACATTGATGCGCAGAGATATACCCATCTATTCCCCTCATAACAAATTCCCTATCAATATCACTCCTGGTTTCTTCCTGTCAGCCACTCTCACTGCCTGAAACATGGCTCTGACTCCACTCCCTTGAGGAACCAGTGCCCTCAGAGTCCAAAATGGCAAACTGGTTTGTGAGTGAGACTCCAGATGCTTGGATTGCCTGGCAGTCACCCATTTCCTTTCTGCCTCCAGGCTGTTAAGCTGTGCTGTGACTACAGAGGGGAGTGAGAACTAACAACTGTTCCAGTATTTTAAAAGTGGAACGGGAGTTCTCTATCAGAACGTAATGTTTTAATTCTGCATTAGGCCAAGGTGGACCATGAGTTTGATTCCTAGTTGTGTGGCCACTTGTTCCTGTTCTGTGCTGGTTGTCTCTCTCTGTTCAGCTGTTCCTTGCCTTTGAGCAGAACGCGGGAAGACTCTGGTTCAGAAGAAGCCGACTATGTATCCAGACTGGCAATCTTCCTTTGATGCTCACATTTACGAGGGACGTGTGATCCAGATTGTGCTGATGAAGAGTGCAGAGGAACCTCTGTCTGAGGTCACTGTCGGGGTTTCAGTCCTTGCTGAACGTTGTAAGAAAGGCAGTGGCAAGGCAGAGTTCTGGGTAAGTGAGGGTTAATGAGCTTAGTGCACGGAAAGTATACGGACCAGACAGTAGCATCAATAAGGAAGAGGATATTCAATCTCCACTTCACTAAATCAGCTCAGGAAAATCAGTTAGCAGGCAGAGACCAGCCTTACTGTCCATCTCGTGTCTACTGCAACACCAACGTTTAAGCGGAAACAAGGAACAAATGCTGTGACAGGGTGAATTGGCAGAAACAGCATGTTCTAAACCCACGTATTGTAGTCTCTTGCTAACCCTTGCAGCTGGATGAGCAAAACGTCCTTTGTCCTGGGACTGTTTGATGGGCACAATGTCAAGGGAACTTCAGCTTTAGATATAAAAGAGCAGAGGAAAAGTTACTCTGCATTTAACCCTATTTCCTTATCAAAGTTTTCATACATGAGAACAGATTTAAAGTATTATGAATTTATTTTTAGTTTTAGTTTTGGCTGTGATTGTTTTAAAGGCAGATGTGACAGTGAATTGTACACAGCAACGTCCCTTTGTCTAAGCAGATCAATGATCAGTTGCCCTGCCCTGACACCAAGGAATCCTGCAAAAATATCTTGTTGTCTCCAAGTTCACAGTGAGCTCAAGTCTTGATTTAATGTATCACCTGAAAGCCTGACCCTCTGAGGTTGGTACCCTTCCTTAGCACTGACCCTTGGAGTGTGGCATCACCCTGCATCATCTCTGTTCTGAGTCTGAACAGTATTTTAAAACGTGACCAGGAGGGAGTGTGTGAGACTGCTGGCCCTGTAGTAACAAGTAGTGTGTGCAGTCACGGCCAATTCACTGAGCCCTGACTGTGAAGACAGTTTATAATGTTCACTAATGTCTGTCTGTGTCTCATTCCACAGTTGGATTTGCAGCCCCAGGGGAAGGTACTAATGGCAGTGCAGCTGTTCCTGGAGGATTCAGGTGAGATTCTGTAGGGATCATTCCTCAGTGTGAAAGTTTCCTCCTTACTTGTTTCTTTCCATGCCCTTGTCCTGTCAAGAGAGGTTGAGGAAGAATTTTGTTCATTGTGTTTTGGAGTTGGAGTGTGTAAAAGGTTGCTTTCCTGCTATAGCTGCTGGACAGTTAGAAATCTCTTCATCTCAGACTGGTTAGCGTTTGGAATATGTGAAAGAGCGGGGGTGGGGGGACATTGTGAAGCTGGTGGACACTTGGCAATGTCAGCTGATGTTAATCACAGTGTTGCAGGGTGAATCACTGATCTTTGCACTATACCCTGTCAATGAACACCATTGTTAGGCAGCAAGGTGTATACAGGAAAGTTTAAAGGGATATTTTTACTGATTCTATGAATAATCTACAAGTTAAGGTGAACATCCAAGGTCTTTTCCCCAGGGTAGGGGAGCCCAAAACTAGAGGGCATAGATTTAAGGTGAGAGGGGAAAGATTTAAAAGAGACCTAAGGGCGGTGCATGTATGGAACGAGCTGCCAGAGGAAGTGGTGCAGGCTGGTACAATTAGAATGTTTTAAAAGGCATTTGGATGGGTATATGAATAGGAAGGGTTTAGAGGGATATGGACTAAATGCTGGCAAATGGGACTAGATTAAGTTAAGCTATCTGGTTGGCATGGACGAGTTGGACCGAAGGGTCTGTTTCCATGCTCTATAACTGTATGACTCTATGGCTGTTTCTGCTCCATTTCCTTGCGCATTCTTCCTGTTTTCCCCCCAATCTACACAATCCCCTGGAGAGTGTAAATGTTTTTTCCTACTGCTCTATTACCACAAATTCAAATCCTAAATGTCTCTGATTTCTAGAACATTGTTACTCTTGGCATGACCATGTGAATGCCGACCTATATCTCAGTCATCCACTTTCCCATTTGTGCCCACGCCTGCAGCCACCTTTTTGCTAACACAAAGACCAATTTTTTAGCCATGACAATACGCCTTGTTTCACCAATATGCATTGGTTTGATGACAGTAAAACTGCAAGTTTCAGTGGCTGAAACCTTTCCCTGGGAGTGTTTGATGGGGATAGTGTCGAGAGACCCGTGTCGGGTAGGAAGGGTCACTGGACCCAAAATGTTAACTCTGATTTTTTTTCTTCACAGATGCTGCCAGATCTGCTGAGCTTTTCCAGCAACTTCTGTTTTTGTTCCTGATTTACAGCATCCGCAATTCTTTCAGTTTTTGTTTAGAGAAAGCTTTGCTCTCTACCTAACCTTGTGCTGTACCTCCCCTGGGGATGTTGGAAGGGGATGGTGTAGAGAAAGTTTTACTCTGGTTTAAAAAAAAGGCAGATCTCCAAATTTTATTTTAAAGGAGTCAAGCAATATTCACTTTCTACTTTTTAAAAAAAAAAGTAGAGGCAGCTTTACTCTTCCTCAGAACCGTTCTGAGGAATAGTCACCAGACCTGAAATGTTCACTGATTTTTCTTCCCAGATGCTGCCAGACCTGCTGAGCTGTTCCAGCAATTTCTATTTTTGTATAGAAGAAGCTTTACTGTGTACCTAACCTTATGCTGTTCCTGATTACACTGACACTAGCAGCACAGGTTTTGGAATGTATGCAATTTGGGCCAGTGATGGTTTTTTTGCTGATTGCTGAGCCTAGTTAATGTCAGGGTGCCAGATAATGGGAGGTGAATAGAAAGGAGCTGAAAGAAAGATTTGAATTTCTGAAGAAGGGTCCAGACCCGAAACGTCAGCTCGGATGCTCCTCTGATGCTGCTTGGCCTGCTGTGTTCATCCAGGTCTACACCTTGTTATCTATGAAAGAAAGATCTGATCAGAGATGGGAAACCAATCATCGTACTTGCAATAAGCCACACCCACTGGCCCCCATACCTTGTTGCTGTGGTAAAATAATAGGTTGTAAAACCTGAATGACCGGCTTCCCAAGTCCCTGCTGATTTTAACTATGTAATTTTATGCCCAACCTTGTCTTGTTAAATGGTTCTCTCCAGGGGCACTGGGTTGAGTTATCAGTGTGTCAGGACAATGTGACAATGGGCTTTTCTGAAAATCTAATATTGCAGTGGAGAGGCTTTGAGAGGGGCCATGCACAACCTTCTCAAAGTGGCAGAGCTGGCTAACTGATCATCATAAAGTGCAGAAACAGGCCATTCCACCAAGTCCACACCGACCCTCTGAAGATCATCCTCCCCACCTTATCCCTGTAACCCTGCATTTCCCATGGCTAATCCACCTAACCTACGTATCCTTGAACACTATCGGTAATTTAGCGTGGCCAATCCACCTAACTTGCACATCTTTGTGTGGGAGGAAACCGGAGCGCCCGGAGGAAACCCACACAGACACGGGGAGAAAGTGCAAACTCCACACAGTCGCCAAGGCTAAAATTCGAACCTGCGTCCTTGGCACCTGTGAGGCATCAGTGCTAACCACTGAGCACCATGCCGCCCATAATGATTAGGAACAAGCCAATTGAGCTCACCGTTAAGGTCTTTCTAATTGGAAGAATCGAAAAGCTGCAGTGCACCATTTTCTGTCCTCCCTTAAACCCCAGCACCACCATCCCCTCCCCCTGGCCCGCACCAACCCTATTCCCTGGGGAAAGGTAAATGGCATTACTGAGCCATTGGATTTTATGATTTAATAGACAATTTCACGACCTGATTATGGACCAACCTCCATTTCCATGCATTTTCCAACTCCCTTTGTGACTCCTCTGTCCGTCAAGAAGCTGTATAACTGAGCCTTGCAAATGTTCGATAACCCTCCATCTGCTGCTCTCTGGGAAAAGATTTCCACAGCTAACAACCCAATGAGGAGGGGTAAAGAAGGTATTACCTCTGCCTTAATGGCTAATTCCTTCATGTTTAAATTGTCTGTGGTTTAAGCTCTCTTGCAAGGCAAACAAACTTTCAACATTCCACCCCCACACCTCAAATCCCCTCTGGATCTTTTATGTTTCAACATGTTTTATTTTTCTAAACTCCAATGGCGTAACTTGTCTGACCTTTCCTCATGAAATAAACCTCTTGATCTCAAGATTCACCTGAGTGAACATTCTCTGAATTTCTTGTAACGAGGTTACATTATTTATGGAGTCATAGAGTTAATCTTCCTTCCAATTTATCCATGTTGACCAGCCATCCCAATCTAAACTAGTCCGACTGGCCAGCATTTGGCCCATGACCCTCTTAAACCCTTCCTGTACATATGATTTTTAAATGTTGTAACTGTACCAGTCTCCTCCTCTTCCTCTGGTGGCTCGTTCCATATACGCACCACCTTCTGTGAAAAAGTTGCCCTTTAGGTCTCTTTAAAATCTTTCCCCTCTCACCTTAAACCTATGCCCTCTAGTTTTAGACTTCCCTACCCTGAGGAAAGTAAAATAGAGACCAGCTCTCTAGACTGTACTCTGATATGGACCCACCAATCCCATGTACATCTGTGGCAAAGTCCCTGCTTTTCTTATTCTGTTCCCCTCTGCCTGATTGCATTAAGTTTATTTTTAAGTACCAAGTCATGATCTCTGTAATGATAATCTAGCATTTCTCTTTGGTAGCTGTTAAGCTAAATGACCTGTAGTTTCCTGTTTTCTATATCTATCCTTTCTTGACTAGAGAGCTCTTATTCAGTATTTTCTAGGATGTAGGAGACTATAGTAAAATAAAACCAATATGTCTGCACCTCAGCAGCCACATCTAGTCAGAGCCTGAACTGTTGTTTGTGTTGACAGATTGTCACCAGTCTGTGAGGGAGGAAGATGGGGCAGTGACACTGAACCGGCGCCGAGGAGCAATCAAACAGGCGAAAATCCACTACATCAAGAACCATGAGTTCACTGCCACCTTCTTCCGACAGCCCACCTTCTGCTCAGTGTGTCGGGATTTTGTCTGGTGAGGATGATGGGACAGAGCCTTTGTGACTGTGTAACTCAGCTCAACTGTATGAGATTGATGGAGGTCAGCGACGCCTATCACCCAGGGCTGGGGGCAGTGATTGGAATACAGGGACAAAGGGGTTTGGTGACTGAGGGGAACATAGTCCAGGAATTGGCTGGATCAGGGGAATGGGTGGTCACCCTTAGCACTCAATGTGCCATCATTCTGTTCTCCTGTGGTGTAGTGTTTCCGGATTGTGATTAGTTCCACAGATCCAGTTTTTGGGCCTGAGCCTCAATTGAGAGTGAGTGCCACAATTGTGGCCTTTGGATTCTCTGCTTTTATTGACTCTGTGTCTGTGATGTGGCCATTAAAACCATCCAACTGGCTCCTGGGCACAGCCTCCTCCTAGGGGCTATTACCCACCACGCCCTCTGCTGACTCCTGGGCCATGCCAGGGTTTTATTTGTTTTGTGGTGAATGTTGTCTTTGTGTTGCTGCAGTTTGCTCAGTGTTGACTCTCCTCCACAGGGGCCTGAACAAACAGGGCTACCAGTGTCGACGTGAGTATTGTGCCTACCCCCAGCATTGACTAACAGGCAGATCTTGTTGTACACACTCTCTCTCTCTCTCTCTCTCTCTCTCTCTCTCTCTCTCTCTCTC